ACTATTTATCATCATTTCTATTACGTATTTAAAAATAATAATACATAAATGTTGAAATTTTAATTCCAAAAGTCTTTTCACGTTGAGATAGAGACAATATTCTTAATTTTTCAAATGTTAGAGTTTCTGATGCATCAAAAACAAAGTTTTTTTTAGCTTCTAGATTCTACTAATATCATTCTATTTTTAAGAGCACTTGCCTCATTCATTTAAAATGTTCATTTTTTTTTCGACCATCTTGTAGAGGAAATGAAACTTCATATATACTCAAACTTTTTCAGCAAGCTGACTCCTTTTGAGAGAGTTGTGACTTTTAAAAGTTATATACCATTTTTTAAGTACCCCAAAGTATTTTCAGAGAAATATTGACTTTTCTATTGGATGTTTTTTTGTATCTGTCTAATAGTATTTTCTTGAAAAATCTTACCTGTAATTTCAGATATAAATCTGATTAGAATAGAAAAATTATTATATTAGAAAGATGCCACGTCAACTTCTGCGTTTTATGAGCGAAGTTGAATTTTCATTTTGACTAGATTTTCAAAAGAAAAACACCTCTTTTTTCTATACTGAGGTATTTTTCGTACATTTTTTTAAAATTAAAGATTAAATACATGATTCTACAGTATATATTATTCGATAAGCAATTGAATATGCTACAAAACCATATATAAACTGACGAGATAATATCGTAGCATAATAGACTTTTGTAGACAAATAACTATTTACCTTCACTAGTGTGTGTTACTAGGCATTAAGTAGCATATAATGCCAAATTTCAGTTGATTTTATTCTTCATTGATTTATGTATGGTCTGATAGAGCTTTAAGAGTTGCATATGAATTAATAGTTTTTACTTCAATATGGTTTCTCTTTCATCGTAAGAAACTTCAAACACTGACAAGGTCGAAAATATGAGCAAAGTTACTTTTTTTTTTTGCAAACCAATTCTTAAGTTTCTTTAGTCATTTTCTAAATACTCTGAGCATAGTGTTTTTTCTGTAATTGACCATGTAAAAATGAGTAGAAAAAAAATATTATCTTCTTTAATTTTTAAATAAAGAAAGTAAAAAAAAAAAAGTCACTGATAATATATGTAAACTTATAGCATGTGTTTAAAGGCACCTCTGTGTCCTTAAATAGTGTTTTGTGACAGAAGATAAGAACAAATATCTTGTCTAATTTGAATCAGCCGGTGTCGAACTACAAAGGTACTCATTTTAGTTTTTCAGGATAATGCTCTATTGTTCAAGAAATCGAAAATTTCTTCATTTTAGTGGTACAGAACCAAAAATGATCTTGTTTCTAGGCGTTTTTGATTATCCGATTTCAAGTTGAAAGAAATTAAACAGCATATTCAAAATCAGCACGTAAATCACAGTCAAAATTTCAGAGAAAAATGTTAACGAAGAGTACAAATACATTTTTCATGCAGAAATGATGCTGCTAAAATATATTGGATCTGGTTTAGATTAAACTGGTAGTTCTCAATATACTGTTTAATTTGTTTTCAACTGAATGCTGATAAAAAAAAACTTCAAAAAACTAAATGGACATTTGTGTAGTTCAACACAGACTGATTCAAATTAGACAAGATATTTGATCTTATCTTCTGTCACAACAAAGAAATTTAGATTCACATAAGTGCTTATAAACACATGCTATAAGTCTGAATATATTATTAGCGATTTTTGCTTACGCTATTTATTTTAAATAATACTCTATGTTCAGAGTATTTAAAAAAAGACTAAAGAAAATTAAGAATTGGTTTAAGAAAAAAGTAACTTTACTCACATTTGTGATCCTATCAGTATTTGAAGTTTCTTACAATGAAAGAGTATACCCAATTGAAGTAAAATATATTTATTCATAAGCAACTCTTAAAACTCTACCAGACCATACATAAATCACTAAAGAATAAAATCAACTGAAATTTAGCATTATATACCACTCGTAACCTTTTATCTCTTCTTTCCCGTTGGCAACTGAAATTATCATTTATATGAACATTGCAGAAAATAAAGAAAGCATCAAATTAAAAAACGATAAGAATCTTTTTCCTAGTAAATTTCATGAAACATCTATTAGTAAAAATAATATTGCTTTTGATTGTTCTATCTTTGAAATATCGTACCTACAAAGTCAATGATTTTGTAAAAATGAAAAAAAAAAAACTAAATGTTTTCTATTCATGATCAATATAGATCTTTTGGAATCTCAGTTTAGCATTAATCGATGAAAATATCTATTAATGAATTAAATATGTGTCGAAGGTTTCATAATAACTCTTCAAATTACACATATGAAGGCACATAGTCGACTATGTAGTTCTATTGAGCAGCTGGAAAGTAATCAAGAAACAAAGTTAATATGTGTATTATAAATTCCATTTCATGAGAATTTGCAATCAATTTTATTATGAAATAAATTTCTTCAAAGTTTATAAAATGTTTCAGAGAAAAATAGATTTCAAATTGACATCATATGTGAAAAGCACATGTATTCTTTGATATTAATTTTTATTAGTTCATTTTTTTCTTTTTTCTCGATCATTCGAAATAAAACGGGATAGAAGTTGCTTCTGTCCCTTCAATAATGTGCTCAAAGAAAAACAAAACAAAGCTTCATGATATCGTTCAATTTTCGTTTTTTTAACACATGAAAGATTTATCTTATAGGAAAATCATTATTTCTATTAGCAATCTTTTTTCATTTTCGTGAAGCCTTGTTAGAAATGAAATTCTTGACACAAATCACTGTTCGGTTTTCTATTGACATATATCACAGTGAAAAAAATTGAAAGCAAAAGCTGATTGAGTAATTTTGGAAACCACTGTATATTATCAGAAAGTTGTTTAGTATACTTCTGATTTTGTTATTAGTTGCTAAAATTTGATTCTCTAACAAAAAAGCATACCCAACAATAATCATATTACTTTTATTATCTATTGTTTTACGTTAACAATTTATCACATATTAAGCCGAAAGAACTTAGTGATTCTCCAAGTCGGTGATCAAAAAAAATACTCTGATTCATACTTAACACTTATCTTTGTGTAACGAGATGATGTCACATTTCATTGTTGATGTCGTCACATTGAGAAAAAAAGCCATTACTCTTGTTTGTCATACGTCTATGTGAATCAGTCGATTTATTATTATTTTTATAGACAAAAAATGTGAAATCAAATAGCAACAATATAAAAGAAAATGTTGACTTACAATACAAACGACATACTAAACGGCTTAATTCTCTACTTATAAAATCATTCATTTGAATTATACATCACAGATCTAGGTCGAGTTGGATTTACATAAAGGCATATTTGCACAAAATTTTCAAACAATAGCTTATATATAAATGCTTTTTTTTACATCTATTTTATGAGTAAATTTCGTTTTATGTCAATATGGATTTATCGACGATTGTTGCCTATGGATTATGCATGCAACTTGTAAAATTTATTATGAAGGATTATATACATCGCATCAGTCATTTCATCGAACTGAAATCAAAATAATCAAGTCTACATAGAACATTCAGTAATCAGATAGAAGTGTCTTCGAATGATTCATCAAAATTTTTATATCGGTATTTGAAATTTCGATAAACATGAACATATTAATCATTTGAAAGTAACATTTGATAAAGTACAGTTATTTATTTATTCATGCTTGATTCACTCTTATTCGAACATACAAAGACGCTTTTTGTGAGACAAAGTTTAAAAGGAATTCGTTCTAAATACCTTTAGAGCTGAGTTATGCTCGTTTCTATCCAGTTTTAGGTATATATCGAATAATCAAAAAAGGCAGAATTTCAACGTGAAAATCTGCCTATAAACAAGTCTAAAATTCAGCAAAGCGATTCTAATTCAGCTGTAAAAGCTCATAGAGACGAATTCTTTTCGACATTTTCTAGTCTCATTGAGAATTCCTTGTGGATCAAATACAAACTAAAATAGTGTCTATCAGTGCCTGTGGTTCTCTCATGAGTAAATGTAATCGCCTGATATGATAATTAGTTAAGGAAGTTAATCATGAATACGACACAAAATAAAAACAACAAACCGATCGTTTAACCATTTAATAAACAACCTATAGACGACGAACTCTTTACAATACATTTTTAAACGAACAAAAAACAATATTTGTTTAATGAAAATTGAACTCGTATTTTTTTTTTTTTTTTTATAAATGAATCTTTTCTTTTTGCTATCTCTTGTCAAATTTTTGAGTTTGTTTGATATTCGAATATAAATGATACTGCTTAAAATAACATGTACTTAAGATAACAGCACAAGTATGTAACAAGAAGAATGTTAAACGACAATATTCATTATCAAGATGTGTTGACGTACGAGCATAAAAACTAAGGATACTATATCATTGCCATATATATATATATTCTAGAAAGAGATTATTCTGTCATTTGATGTAAAACACAAGGAAAAAAAAAAGAAATATTCTAAATTAGCAAACAGTATGCTAAACGTAAACCTCAACATAACGACTAATTCTGAATGTTTAATTAACAAATAAAATATGTTTCAATCTATGCCTTTAGAATTTAAAGTAGAAAAGTCATTTTTCACTAAAATTTTTGAGATTGAAAATTTTCTTTTTAAATTTTGAAAAAAAAAATTCAATCTAGAAATAAGATAAGACAAACTTTTTTTGTTTTTTTTCCATCCCCAAAAATTTTTTTTTTTTTTTTTTTTGTTGTATATGTTACAGATTGATCATCAAAAAAATCGATGTCAACAAGATTTTTTCCACGATACAAAATATTTTTTATGTATCGTGAAGCAAAAGCACACAAACAAATATAGAAAAGAAAAAAAAAAAAGAAAAGAAATTGCAAGGCAAGAAGACAAAAAATAGCGAATAATAAATACAATGTGAGAGTGAGAAACAACACCGGCGAAGAGAAAAAAAAATTAAAAAAAAAAAATGAACAAGAAAAAGTTGAGATGAAACATATGCTTTTTTTTTTAAAATTATGTTGTAGTTGAAAGTGATGGTGTTGATTCATTATTTAATTCATCTTTTAATATTATTTCTGTATTCGTAGTCGTTGAAGGAATTGTTGTTGGTGATGGTGATTGTTTTTCACGTTTAACGTGTTTGATTTTTTTTGATGATTCTGATGATGATGATGTTGATGAATGTGAACCAGGTGATGTTCCAAGTTTTGGACTTATTCGTGGTATTTCATCATGATTAATTTTTGGTGATGATTGTTCGATTTTTGTTGATGATAATTTTGATAATTTATTTAATGAAATAACAGCTGCTACACGTTCACGTTCAAGAATTTGTTCTTGTTGTTGACGTAATGAATTAAGAAAATGTTCACGTTGCATTAAAGCAGCTGTCATTGCTGATGAATCAACATTTGGAAATATATTCGATGAACCATTATTACGATATGTTGTTGGATCAATATTACCCGGAAAATAATTATTCGGTTGAGATGATGCAGCAGCAGCAGCAAATAATGATGCATAAGCAGCTGATAAACGTTGTCGTTCAATAATTGATAATGTTAAAGGATCAAAAGAACCAAATGTTGGTGGAAGAGGTATTGGAGGTAATCCTGGTGGTGGTAGTGATGGAGGAATATGTGAAGAAGAATTTTTCGAATTATCTGATATGTGTGGTTTCATATTTGGAGAATTACGTTTACGTGAAGATGATGATAAATGTACTGATGATGGTGGTGAAGAAGAAGAAGAAGAGTTTTTATTTAAAAGACTAGATGATGATGAATGATGATGTAATGAAGGATGTGGAGAACGTGAACGAGAACGATTAGATGATGATGATGAATAATTATTATTTGTTAAATGTGATGGCGGAAGCATTAAATGATGGTGAGAATTACGACGATCATCATCATTATTAAGTACAGATGAAGAACGTTTTCTACTATTTAAAGAAAAAAGAAAAAACAATTTAAATTACAAAATAAAAAACTTTTTCCAAAAAATTCTCGTACTTTTCATGATTACTATTATTTGTTTCATCGAGTTTTTTCAATGATAAATTATCATTAGTTGATGGTATTGGTGTTAAAGGTGGAATTAATGATGATGGTCCTATACCACGATGAAATCGTGACCAATCAAGGCCAAGGGCAGCAGCTGCTGCTACTGATCCATTTATATCTGATTTTCGATCAATTGTCGATGAAGATGGTGGTGGTGGTGGTGGTAGAGGTGGTGGAGGAGGCGGAGGAAATAAAGAACCAAGACCACCAAATGCACTACTTGGTGATGGGGGTATACGACCTAATGGCCCATTATTAACACCAGCAAAATCAAATGGTGATCGATAATCTATATTTAGAAAAATAAATTATTTCGTTTTTTTTTTGTTGAAAATTTTGTATAAAGAAACATACTAAATGATGGTGGTGGAGGCAAATGTGCAGTTGGATATGTCGCAGTTAATGGAAGAGATAAATCACTGGTTGATGGTGGTGGTGGTGGTGGTAAAATAGGTTTGGTATTTGAAATAAGATCGGGTAACTTATTATTTAATAATGATGATGATTGTTGTTGTTGTTGTTGTTGTTCTTCATCTTTTTTATTATCCGATGGAGATAATTTATCTTTCGAACGTTGTTGTTGATGATAAATCATCCAAGATATTCGAACATGTGCTGCACACCATTTAGGAGATTTCTATAAAAAGAATAAAATAAAATAAAATCAAACAAATAAGAGTTAAAATATAAATAACATCAATGTGCATACTTTAGCTGGAGGCGATGAAATTTCTTTTGTTGAATTATTGTTATTATTATTATTATTATTATTAACAGGAGTTGTTGTTGTATTATTATTTAAACTAAATGGTGGAAATATAGGTGGAGGTGGTGGTAGAAGTGATGCTGGAGAAAACTTAAGAATAAAAAAAAAAAAGAACATAATCTTAAAATATTTTTCTTTTTTTTGTTGAATAAAATAATATTTACATTATTAACAGCTGTTGTACGTAAAAATGGTGAAAGACTATTTTCTGATTTCGATAATTTATCTAACTAAATAAAATTTATCAAAATTAATTTTAAGTTCAAAAAACAAAAAATTAAATAGACATACGATCGAATTATTAAGATTTCCATTTAATAATGAATTATTAGGTGGTGTTAAAATATTTAAATTATGTTCATGTGTATGTGTATGTTGATGATAATGTTCAGCACGAAGAAATGGTGGTAAAAGAAATGCTGGAAGTCCATTACCATCGATTGGTGAATTATTTGTATTAGATGTTCGTGTTGCATTTATATCATGTAAATATCGAGCATTTAATTCGCGTAATAAATCAGGATCAAGCGAAAAATCTAATTAATAGAAAATAGATATAGATTTTTTTTTTTTTTTCTTTTTTAATTAACAAAAATATTTTTATTACTTGGTGTTGATGATGTTTTTCGTGACATTGATGACGATAATTTATGTGAACGATGATCTTCTAATATAAAAATGAATATTGTTCAAGGTTATCAAGACAATATTTGATGTCTTTTATTTCAATGTTGTCAAATCGATTAAGAAAAAAGAGACAAGGATCAAGCACGGTATTATTTGAGCTGGATAAGCCAAACGGAGACATACATATATATATATATATAAAGAATCTGTGTTTCAATGAGAAAAGAAAAGAGGGGATGAAATTGATCCTACTATCACAATGCTGACTAAAATCCCTCTTGCAGTCAATCTAGATTAGTCATACATTGATATATACAAAAAAAAGAAAGAAAAAAAAAAGACTAATTTAAAAATCTCATATTTATTAGTTTTAGGAAATAAAAGCAATACGATATATGAGTATAAAAAAAAATTGATACTTACTTAGATTATCAAAAAGAAATTGTTGTTGATGAAGATTATTATTCATTGTTGTTGTTGGTAAATTTGTATTTGTAGGAATTGACCCAGGTATAAACATGTTGTTTTTATCTATCTATTCTATCTAGAAAAAAAAAAACTACAAGAGTTGACACCTGCAGTGCTTCTCATTGATTCAATGGGTCACACATTGTGTATGTTATTTTCTCTATTTAGCAATCTTTCTCTTCTTTTTCTCTTTTTCTTTGGTTACTCGTCGCTAATTCATATTTCTTCATCTCAAAACTGAAGTGTGTGCACGCACACACTTGAACCAACATACATACACACATATATAGACACATATAATTTTATCGAGTTCTTTTCTCCCCCCCCCTTTTTTTCTCCCTCCTTCTCCTCCTCTTCTCCGCTCTATGTCTTCTTGACATACTCAAGTGACGGACGGGCGACGGGTGGCGGTATGTAAAGCGCAAGAGAAAATATTTCACATCTATAAATGATGATGATGATGATGATGATGATGATGATTAAAAAGAGAACGACGACGAGAAGTGTACTCACCGTCGACGACACTTGAGATTCTTTCTTCTTCAATGCTTCTGTTTCTGCTGTTACTCTTCACAGTATGTCGTTTCTATGCATGCGATGCGCGTACACATACTAACAAAATAACGCTAAGAGAATGAAAGACATCGTATGTGTGCAAATTAGACCATCTGCTTGTGATATGATGATGAGAGGATAAGGGAGAGGAAGACGATCGACAACGACCAACAACAACAATTCAATTAGTCTTGGCACCCAAGAAAATGTGTTTATTCAATGCTTTGCCTATTTGCCTTGCAGCTCGGTCAATTTTCTTGATAGACACATGCATATAAGAAGGAAAGAAATTACAAATGGAAAAAGAAACGGAAAAGAGAATCGAAAAGAAGAAGAAAAGGAGAAATAATGGACTTGTGTGTGTATGTTGCGCGTCGATATCTCGAGAGAACAAGTAATTTTGACACTCTGCATGCATGCACTCAGCAGCTCACTCTCTCTCTCTCTTTCTCTCTCTTATGGGTTCGCGTGTTCGTCGAAGCAAACTAATAAATCATCGAAAATCAATTACGAGACGCGATGAGGGAGTTAGCTTTGCTCCAGGACGACAGAAGAGAAAGAACCTAATGAGTTACGCTACCAACATACTCATTTATGAATGAAGCGTGAAAAGCTCATTTCTCGCCTTTTTTTTTATATGTCTCTTTACATCAATTAGATGTGAGACAGTGAAGATAGCACAAGATGAAGGATTCAATCCAGATCACCATTACGCGCGCCCGCCCAATTAATAATTGACTTGGCAGTTGTAATAGAACAGAAAAGGAGAGAGAAGAGAAAAGAGAGGAAACACGCGAGAAAGCAATCAGCGTTTTTTAGCTTGATGTTCGTTCGTTCCGACGGCAATGATTAAATATTAACAGGAAATTGAATTGTGCAGCAAAGATATAGAACAGCAACGACTCAACGGAAAAGATAAAAAATCAAATCACATGTGTGATGACAACGACACGAGACATAGAAAAGAGATAGATAATTATCATGTGATGTATATAGGCTAGAGGTCATTTTCCGGTCTAACAAGTTCCTTTGGCACACGTCGTTGTCGTTGTCATTGTCATTGTCGATCTCCTGAGGCATTACCACCGAGTGCACCCATACAAATATTTGTTGCCTGCCAGTCAAGATAGTCAATGAGAGAACAGAGAAATGAAGAGAGTTCGATGTTGTTAATTGCCGTTGCTTCCGGCCTTCCTTTTATACAGATTTGACCGCGCTTATGTATATATGTATGTATGCCCGTTGAGACTATAGCAAGTTGTAAAGAAGAAAGCGAAGAAGAAGCAGAAGAAGAAGAAGAAGAAAGGATGGAATGGCATAGCGAGTGTGTCTGTGCGGGTGTATGATGTGTGTAAAGCGGGGAGTGATTGATGAGAATACATGACAAGCTGCATACATATATATATATATATAGATGAAGAAAAAGGTCGGTGTATATATGTTCCGGAAAAGATTCGCTACATGGTGTGTATGTGTATATGTATGCCTGGCGGCTTGCTTATCAAAACAATTAGGCATTGCAAGCAGGAGAACGAGTCTACTTCTATGTGAGTTGTGTGTTGAATTAGCTCCGTATCGATCGTTCGCTCCATCGAATTGGGACGCATTCTTACAGCTGGCGGCAATATATAAGAGAAAGAGAAAAAAAAAACGAAAGCATGCGTAGCGATTAACTCAATTATGCATGCTGCTCTCTTTCTCTTGATGTTAGTTGATGATGTTGTAGTTGTAGTCAGCTATTATCATCGAAACACATTCATTCATTTGAACAAAAGTGCATGCAAGATAAACGACATTGATTGTATATATGTGAAAAGAGCATGTGATGATGATTGGGGTGAAAGTGAACTTCACACGTCACGTCGCCACACCTCATTGCAAAGAAAAAAAGAAAAAAAGAGTGAAACTTGACACACACATATACACAACAACGACAAAAGATGACAATGACGACGATAAACTCTCTTGTGAATGTGCACGTCGTCGGCTTGTATTCTAATCCCTTGTGTGCGTGTGCACGTCATCATCAGACAGACGAGAAAAGAAAGTGCGCGACTAATCCGACATAGCAGCAACAGCACAACCAGTCGTTTAACCTCCGACAAACAAGAAAAAAAGAAAAGAAGTAAAGAAAGGATCAAGACAAGATTGATATTGTTCTTGTAATTGAATCAAAAGCAAGGACAATGATAGAAAAGTACCAATTTTCTTTTCAATGCTCAATTAAAGAGATGTCATATTTTCTATTCAACCTCCTGTGAATAAGTGATTGAGAAGAAACGACTAAATAGATCAAGATGGAAGAAAATTCTTACCAGATGTCTATATTATTTTTTTTTTTTTTTTTCTTTTTTCATCAAAACTATTCTTATTTGCAATCGAACAAAATTAAATCAGGAAATACATGACATAAAGTGTAGCTGTTATTATATAGATCTACTGTAGATATAAATTACTATTTCCTCAATAGAATTATTTCATCGATCGAATAAATAAACAATTTCTTAAGGATAAATAAGAAAAAAAAAAAAAAAAGAAAATTTTTATCGTGAATTTCTTTTTGCTTGAATAAAATGTTCATGCATGCGGAATAATTTGTCTAGTTCTTTTTTTATGTCAAAAAATTTTTATACAAATGTTTTCAATCATGTGTAAATAAAATATATAAATGTATTATTATTACTTAGACCATATCCGGTTCGGAGATTCTCAATATGAATATATCGTTGCTTCATTTTTAAAAATATCTCATTTTGGAAATTTTATTATTTTTTTTTTATAGAAGTCAAATATTTATAATCGAAAACTCGATATTTTCAAGTCACCATTGATCGATACATTATGAAAAATTTCCTAAAACAAAATTTTCTTTGAATGATGAATTATTTTGAGAAGAAGAAAAATATGACATTGAATTTGAAAAAACAAAATCATAAAATTGATCAGATTTTTATTAATTAAAAATTAAAACAAAAAAAAAAGAGATGAAAAATCTGATTAATGAAAATCCATCAACAATGAATAATCTAAAAAAAACAACATATTGAGAAAGATATTCACAATATGATATATCTATCACATAAAAGAAAAATGTGAAGGACAGTCTGATTTATGTAGAGTCTACATAGGAATATATTTAACTTAAGTATAATACATCTCGACATTCTCAAAAGTTTACATCAAAACCTATCTTATTACATTCTAATCCTTGTGGATATTTTTATTACGTTCTTCTCACTTTTCATAATAAACATCTTTGAAACCAATCTAGAAAATCTCATTTTATTCTCAAAGGTATTGTTTTACTAAATATTACCTAGTAATAAAATATCTTCAAAATATTTATCGATAAAATACATCTTTTAAGCAGTTTCAATCAATTGTGAATTTTTTATTATTTAATAATAGAAATGAAAAAGAAAAAGTATCAATTCTTTTAATATTAAATTTTTGACAATAACTAGAAAAAAATCTTGTCAATATGATTCCATTAGATTGACATATGAAGGATCTTTTTATTTTTTAATTTTCAAGGTAAATCTCCTATATTATTTCAAGTGTAAGAGTACGATTAAATGTATGACATTTGTGTCGCTGGTTTTTTTTTTCTTCTTCGCAAATTTAAATATTTAATTTCAATTGTTGAATTAATAGAAATGTCTTTGAAACCATTACAAATCCAAAATTCAATATGAAGAAAAAAAGAAAAAGGAAAACAATAATGAAGATTTTATTTAAGTTTAGAATCGAATAGGATACATTAATGTTGATTCATATTTTGTTCTTATCATCAATCATATTCAATTAGAACGTCTGTATAGGCCTCAACGAATCCTTGAACCATCATTGCTTTCGTAACGAATCATAACGTACAACGTCTAGAAGGTCATAAGTTTCAATGATAAAAATGAATATTTTACACTGCTCATTTACAAATAGCCTTCTAACGATAAGTAAGTGTATGTTTTTCTTTGCTGAAGAATTTGTTTTTTTTTTTTCTTTTCAATGGTAAGTGCTTCAGTTTTAATTTCAAGATTTTACATATGTTCGCTAAAATTCTTTGAAACTAATAATACTTTTGATTTTGTGAACAAAGATTAACAGTATTCTTTTTTATACACATATACAGAAAAGATGATCCAATAACTATATATATTTATCTCTTTTCTTTTTGTTAAAACCAAGGATTACCAGCCACTCTATTACATAATTGTTTACTATAGTTCGATGATTGTTATATCCTTTTTTGTCTTTCTTATGTAAACAAAACTCATCAAGATAATAAAAGCTGTTTTTATTGTCGTTCAATCACAATTTTCTTGTTTATAGTAACATCCATTAGACGTCTATTCGTAAACGATACATTGACTTAATTAGGTTCTTCTTTATTGATTTATAATCGACAGTATATTTTCTTTGATTAAATGAACTCTTATTTTATTTGATTATTTAATTTCACTTCAATCGCATAGATAAGAAATAATGTATAAGAAGAAGAAAAAAAACAGTATGATTTTGACATTAACAATGCATACTACATACCCACACACAAGAACAAAAAAAAAAGAAACGCACAAGTCAAATCTGACCATGATATGTTCGATTAAGTTGATGTTTCTTCTTCAGGCTGAGAAGCTGTCAATATGACGCTACCATTTGTCGATGTGCCATTATTGAATGAACGAGATGAACGAATTTTTTTCACACTAGAACGATAAAAATACCAAATAAATTATTCATTATTTCATATAAAAATATTTCTTTGCAAAAGTTAATTCAAAAAAGCAAAAAAAAGCGCAAAGAAAGGAAACGTCGGTCATTATTTAGCATTAGAAGCATTTGTAAGTAAATAATTTTCTTTTTTGTTTTTTTTTTATATTTATTTTAGTAAAAGAACCTAGAGTAACTAATTGATATCGACGTTTGTTTCTGAAAATAATTTATATGAATTATTATATATATATTTTTTTTTCCTTCTATTGAAATATTCTTTAATATATATTATTATACCTTTTATTATTTGTTAAAGTTGTTTCAATAATTGTTGATTGCTTACATGCAGATAAAAGTGGTTGAAGACTTTCAGTAAATTTTGTAAATTTATTTTCAAGATCTTTTTGATATTCACGTTGATCAGCTTGAATTAATGTTTTATTTCGTTTTAATGCTTCAGCAAGTCTAACAAGAGAAATAAAAAAAAAAACAACCAAACTATAGATTATTTTTGAAGATTTTTTTTTTCAAAAATAAATTACCTTCGAGTAAATTCTTTAAAAAATAATCGTAAACGATTATGATGAATATTTGGTAATTCTAATCCATTCATAATTGGATTTAAGAAAATATTTGCGACTTCTAATGGACCTTGATTAACAGCAGTACTTATACAACCTTGTATAACCATTTGAAGAATTTTAGGATCAGCTGGTTCTTGTTGTATAGCTATACGTAATTCATCAGTTTTCTTTTGTAAATCTTCTATAGCAACTTCAATTGGACTTAGAATTAAACGTTCACGATCAATGATTCCAATACGTGTTTTAACATATGGAAAAGCACGTTCAACAGTTAAAATTGTTTTACGTTTATATTGTTCAGGTAATGAACCATGTGCACGATTTGTATCCATTGTAAATGGTGACGCATACATAAAACGTTCTAAATTATTAATTAGATGTCTTTTTTTTTTGTCTTACTAAGAGAAGAAAAAGATTTTATAATTTACTAAGATTATAATTTCGATCGAAATGTGTTGGACGATGTTGTAATTCCGATGTATCGAAATATGGTTCGACATAAGTTACTTGAATATAAACCTGTTTTTTTTTTTTGGAAACAAAAAGAAAAACGAAGAGATTATGAAAAATATCAATAAGCCATTTTTATGATCTCTTAGGGATATGATTACATGATAAGAATATCATACTCAATCTATTTTATGTTACTTTGAAGTTTTTCTTCCTCTCTCACATACTTCAAGTGTTAATCATTCATTGATGTTTCATACGATTGTATACATGTACATAAGAATTAGTAATGCATGCTAATCGATATTATCATCAAGCATTGAAAGCTCATTTCTTGTTTATTCTTATCTTTGATAGACAAGAACAACGAATGGTAACAAATCGAAACATGACAACCATAAAAAAAAAACCAATTGGATTCGAAAAAGAAAAAAAGCAAAAGAAATTTTTCTATAAACACAATAAATAAGATAAACATAACGAAAATGAATAATTTCATAGATAGACGAAACAATATGTAGAAGTGATTATCTAGTAATCTAATGATGATATATTATCTAATTCATTTATTACTGACTATCAACGTCAGATCAAGAAATAACTGAGGGTTACATAAACAAATCTGGATTTTTTTAAGAATAATTCATTGAAAAAAAAAAACGCAATATTAATCTATTTCTAATTATTCATCTACACATTCACCATGAATGATATGAAGAAATTTTTCGACTATAGAACTTTTTCAATGTGTATATATAGGATTTGATAAATAGTTTTTTTAGATTTCTAATTTTTTCTAGTCAGTATTCTATTATTTCTAAAATATTTAATTAATAACTCTAGAAGTAATCAATGATATCTTTTTCATTGATGAAGAAAAAAAAACCCGAGACATATATACATATATCTACATATATATAAAGGAGAAAATCTTGGTTCGATTATCACCATTGCCATGACATTTAACATGTTTTACATCATTTAGCCTAAGGCAATGTCAATTGACGAATTTCCTTTTCTAGAACATCAAGGAAATGAACGATTCTTAATATTTTTCAAGTAAAGAAAACTTTTTAATCAAATAAAGGTATTTACAAGGTTAAATGTTTTCTAAACATTAAAAATAACAGTCATATCAATAAATTTATTTTGCATTGTTTTTTTTTCTTTTTTTTTTTTATTGACCATAGCCATTTGTTTATGTCAAAATGGCAAATTTGCACAGGTTTCTTAAACAACAAATCAAAGTTACCATAGCTGACTCTTTTTCGAAACATCAACGTCTCCGCGGTTGGTCGATTACTAATAGAAAAAAAAAACAACAGAAAGAGAAAAAGAAAAGAAAAAGCAATAAGAAAAAAAAAAAAAAAAAAAAAACGGAAAGAACAAAACCACAACACGAAAAAAAAAGAAAAGAGAATCATAGCAGACCTTCTCTTATTCGTACATCATACAACCTTCTCAATCGTTAAAAAAGCACTTAGCTCTTAAAAAATCGATTCATAGCCAGATGGTGTTTTATGTTTATTCCGTCCCTTTTTTTTTTTACTTTATTCTGATTACTTGAAACGACCCTAAGAGAAATGGTTAAGGTAAATAAAAAAGAAATTTCTTCTATCTGTCAATTTAATGCTCTTTTTTTTTTTTACTGCTTAATATAATGTATTAATGATGCGATTGCATATGAGAAAAAAGAATCTTTATTGTCCTATATTTGTTTCTATGTCTCAGTTTTCAACAGCATCTGACGCTCAACAATACTTCATTGCTTCAACGGTTTGCTCTTGATTTGGTTGCCTTGTTTGCTAGGTTATTCCCCTGTTACTTGTTTCTTGCTCCTGTTGCTTTAGTAAGGATGCCAAGGCAAAAAAAGAAAACTGCTGCCATCATCGCTGTCGTTGTCATCGTTGTTGCTGCTATCGATGATGATAATGATGACCTTCACTCGTCGTCGTCTCTCGCACAGGCGCGATATCAAGCGGAATTGATGATGTTGTATGTACAAGCAAACGGCATCTAACCCCATCGTAATAACAACAACAACAGCAATCTCGGCATTCTATAGGATGCATCATTCAATACCTAACGACAAGGATTCGTACTTGACAGAAAAAGAAGAAAAAAAGTGGAAAGGCACCGTGCTGGAAAACAATAAATAAGCCACAAATGGCTAATTTATACCAGTAATAGTAATGTGCTTCTGCTTTTCTTCGTTATACTATGTGCCACAATCTTATTTCCTATCACTCATCCTGATTATTCTTCATTATTATGCATCTAGTTGTAAATCTCTACGCGTCTAGTTTATGTTGGTCTAAGACTTAGTCTTATTTTCCTTTTTATTATTTCTCCTTGCCTCTATTTCTCTTTTTTTTTTTTTTCTTTTTTTTTTTTTTTTTCGTTCTTACATTGTCTCTTTTTATTCGTAGCGTATGGAGGTATTTTTTTACATTCGAACCACCTACAGAGTACAGGTAAGGCCACATAAAAAATAAAACAGTAAGACGAAAAAAAAATGAGTAGAACAAAAAAAAAAAAGAAAATGAATAATATACAGATTCCTACACATTCTCATTGTTACATTAATCATTATTCTTAATGGGCTAGTATGCAATTCGGTCTTCCTATATATATATATATATATTTATACATCTATATATATAAATACATATATAAAGGCAAATTAGTAGTAAAACAGAAACAGGTGAAGAAGAACAAAATTATTGTGGATATATATATAGATATATAATATATATATTTTTGCATTACGCTTTCTATATAGTGTTGATCGCCGTTTAATCTATATTTAGGATAGATAAATTCATGGGAAATAAGAAAGGCAAAGAGGAAAAGAGAGGTGATATAATTTATGCATAACATTGTCGATGACAAGCCGAGAAAAAGATAGCAGATGCTGCTTTCAATGCCGTTTTTTTGCTTTTATTTGACTTCAGTATATTTTGTTTTATTTCCGAGAGGAAAACATTGTAAAAAACACTATGTCATTAAAAAAAAAATAATAAGAGAATGTATAGAACACATAAAAGGTAACTTGTACATGTATGCAAAAACAACGATTACTTGAGTTTTCTTTTTTTTTTTTCTCTATTTCATATTTATCGCATCATCATTCTTTTTTTTTTGTTCCTTTTTTTTTGAAGGCTTCTGCATTCTTTTGACATGCCTATGTACAATGATTTGATACATAGCTTGCACAAAAAAACAGCTCTTGCTTTTGAAGTAAATAGTCATAGAATGATGACGACGATTGTAGTGCAGTGCGTGCATACACACATAAACACACACGAAAAAAGCGAGAAGGAAAGACATTGATGGAGACGATTTATTTAAAAAAATAAATATCGTTCCCTGGTTGCCATTGCCGTCGTCGGATGGCGCACAAAAATCCCTCCTTTTTTTTTTTTCTCTTTCTCTTCGTTGCTTTTTTCTGTACGTGATGCAGATAATAACGCATTTACTAAACACATACATTCAGTCACGCATACAGACTACATTTACTGATCTACGGTATGGTTAGTGAGAAATATGATAATGAGAAGTACAAGTAGCACTCCAATTTCATTCCGATTACATGACTTAAAATTGATTATTTGTTCCCTTTTCTGTTTTTTTTTGTTTCTTTTTGTTTCCTTTATTTACATGTATTTATATTTATTGTCGATTTATAGGCTAATCAAAATTGATCTATTGCCTGAACCAAATCGTGATTGTTCTATTTATTTCTATCGTTGATGACGTATACGGCAGCATACCTGCATGAGATAATAAGATAGAAAGAGAGAAAGAGAGAGAAAAAAGGTCTTTTATTTTTTTTTTTTGCTTCGGCATATTTCCAAGATCTGAAGCTTACTAACATATTTGTCATAGCATAGAACTGTTCCCTGATGATTATATTATCTTTCTTGATGCGGATATTTCTCTTTTTTTTCTCTTTTATCCTGTCCTTTTCTCATTGATATGTACAAGAATACAGTCATATCTGCGGTTTTTCTTTTCTTTCGAATTCTTTTTCAGATCTGTTTTCTGTAGTATCTATTGTTGCCGTCATCCGTCTTATTCTATGGCTGACGATCAATCCTCATCAAAAGAAGTTAATGGAGGTGGTGAAGGAAATGAATTATCCTATGATGATGAAACAGTAACAACAGCCGTTGCTGAAAGTATTAAAACTACTGCCGTAGTAGACGATTATCCTGAAGAACCAATTGAAGATTATGTCGTCAATTTAGTTGTTAATGAACAACCTGATGGTGGTATTACACCATCAACCAGCATAATTGATGCTGCTATAACAGATATACAGGATAGTATGACACCATCAAAAACATCAGCAATTGTTGACAAGATCAATGAATATGTAACAACAGCGGTTGAAGAATTGAGCAGTGATACTACTCCCGTCGCTATTACTGGTGGTAAACGATGGTGGGGTAAGTTTATCATGCAAAAATAAATAGAAGAAAACTTGGAACAGGAAGGAAAAAAGAGGAATATAGGCATATATATGTGTGTGCGTGTGTGTGTAAATGTGTGTACGCCATTGCAGCAAGCCAAAATAACCAGTTACCGATAACATAGAAAAAAAAAAAGATAGAGCGAGAAGCAACCAAGACAAAGAATCTGCTGTTGTATACAAGGTCTTCGTTACCAATTCTGTTTACATATCTGAGAAGAATGAGTTAGACAAAGATAATAGTCGATTAGGGGAAGAAACTCATGTCTATGGAAGAACGTCAACAACAAGGCCATATACTGTATAACCAACAATTTCATGAGCTCATTTTTCAATTGACTTACAGTTGTCGTTTTTCGCTTAGTTACAAGTAGACAAACCTTGAGAGTCGAGACAGAACGCAACAAAAACTATTCGGCATGAATATGTCTTTTTCTTATCTGTTCTTCCATCGAATACGTAATTTAAAACAATGTTAACAAAAAAAAAAAGAAAAGAATAAAAAACCTCAACAGTGATGAATGAATACGCACAAAAAGAACAAGTTCTAATAACTTTCTTCTTTTTTTATCAAATTATTCTTGTTATCTTTAAAAACAAAGTTCAATAGATAAAAAGAATTCTAATCTATTCTCTAAATATGTTTGATAAAATCGACGAATCTTTACTTTTTCATATTCTCATAGTCAACCTTTGTACCGATAACTCAACCTATAATGAATCTCGTGAAAGTAGAATAAAAAAAATAATTCTTATAGTACAATCGTTGTTTTTTTCAAAAGAAAATCCTATACTGATTCTTTTTTTTTATGATTTTAGGTTGGTCCACGCAAAAATTATTATTGGTTGGTTTAATTGCACTCTGCGTTCTTGCAATTCTTATTGTCATTTTGTGTGTAGTTTTCGGTAAGAAATTTAAGAAAACCAAGAAAACACCAGCAACAGCTGGTACAACAGGCACAACGAAAGCAGTAGTAACCAAAGGCATATCACCAGACCCGAAATATCAACCAGTGCCAAATGTTTGAAAAAAAAAATTTTCTTTTCTTTTGTCATTTTCTCCTTTCTTGCTAACTCTATCTCTTTTCTTTTTTTTTTTTTTCCTTTTTTTTTTTTTTTTTTTTTTTTTTCTTCAATAAGAGTGCGTTTTTCTAATGTGTGTGTATGCGTAGCGTTCTTTTTTTTTTTTTTTTTTTCTTGTGCAAGATGATGGTGATGATCGATGGTTTTACTTCTATATTTTTTCTTCTTTTTAATATACACACACATATATATAAATATGTGTATTTTACCTTATTGGCTAAATCAAGTGAAGCACGATTAACATCATTGGAATCTTTGATCATTTCAACTTGAGATTTACCAAATTTATCAATATAGAATGACTAAAAGAAAAATTCAAAGAAGATATTATTCAATATAAATAAACAAGAAAGAAACAAAAACTTATATAATTAAACATACTTCAAGTCGAGATGCTATTTCGGCTAATTTTGTTATTCCTGGTTCTTTATAAATAAATTCTTGTCCATCAAGTTCATCAAATTTTGTTCCATAAAAACCAACACGAAAATATGTACCAAATAAACGTTTATTTCCCTTGTAAAAACAAAAAAAAAAAAAACGAGAATGTTCAATTGAAAATTTTATTCTTACTTGAATAAGTATTCGATTAAAATATTCATGTAATTTACTATGTACTTGAGAAAGTTTTTTAAAATCACGATTAGCTTCATAAATGGGTGTTAATACATGATAAATATTATTGACTGCTTCATACATATGTGCCTTTTAATAAAAACAACAATAATCAACAAAAATAATAAAAACAAAAAAATACAAACATGAGTAAGAAAAACTGCTGCTTGTTCCATTAAACCAATAAAACCATTTTCTGTAAAATATTTTCCAGTACAAATACCTTCATCTCCTGGTGATACAACATCATCACTAACAGCACTTTCTTCTAATAAATTCATTGAAATTTTCTAATGATAATTTAAAATATTTATTTTTATTTTTGTCAATTTAAATTTTTTTTTTTGAAACAAACTTGTAAAGCAACACAACCATCAGGCATATATGATTTTGATTCAAGCATTCGAAGATATTCAGCAACAAGACTAGCTGCATGTGCTAAACACATTCCAGCTTCTGCATAATGATTCATCTAGATAAAATTAAATAAAAACAATTTCGATTTTTTTTCATTTAATTTGTAGTACGACAAAAAAAAAGAAGAAGAAAACTTTATACAGTTATGCTTAATTATAAAAAACAACTTTGAATTACGATAAAAAAAATTCGTTATGGTAAACTGCACTATTCATTATATTATAGATGCAGCATAGCTGTAACACATGTATTAGAAAACAAAATATATCCTTGATATATTTCATCTATATTGCAAAGAAAAATAGAAATAAATTAGAGTACGATTGGTTTTTTCTTTTGTTTTTAATCAAAATAGTATAATTATTTACTTTTATTCTTATAGACTATATATATATAAAACTAAACTAATATAAACATTATTATTTGATAAATAAATATAAATATATTCTCATAATATTGACAAGTATGTCTCTTATTTTGTTTTTTTCATTTTTGTTTCGTATGTAAGTTCCTATTTTTGTTTAGATAATATAAAATAGGAAAATTAAATTTTTATTATTATGATCATTTTATTAATGGATGTCACGAAGTATCTTTATTAAGTAAATATAGAATTATTCTATCATGCATCATTAGTGTAACTGCAGATGGAAAAAATATTTTTAGGTTTCTCCATATGAGATGTCTCATCAAGTGATAATAAATATGCTTTGGCATCTCTACTAAAGATAATAACTATGGTATTATATGATAGATTACTTTCATATCCAGTCATTTGCTAAGGATTCATTCTATGACATATTTTTTACTAGAATAGGATAAATGTCAATTATAAAGGACAATAACATCATTTTGACTTAGAAAAAAATTTTTATTATATTTACTGCTAAATGTTTTTGAGCCATATTTTGTAACCAAGTAAGTCGTAAATCAGGACTATTTTGATAACAATTAGCTATACGATGAAGAAGATCTATTTCCATATCTGGATTATCCTAAAGAATAATTCATTAAAAATAAAACAAAAAAAACATTTCAAATTAAAAAATAATAACTTTAGCTTCACGTAGTTTAACTGTATCACATAAAATCATATATAAATTAGTTGCTAAATCTTTAACTTGACTTGGAAATGCACTTTCTTGTAAATCTGTATCACCATCAGCATATGTTAAAATCGTTCGTAATGATTTACGTAAAAATATTTCATTAAATTGTGATGTTGATTGTCCAACAAGCCATGATAATGACATTGTTGCTTGCATTTTAACTCGTGAAAAATTCTAGAATATATTTATTTTAATAAGAATAAAAAAAAAAAAAATTATATTATTTTTTTTTGTTTACATTTCCAATTTCAAAATTTTGTCTCATTAATAAATAAAGTGATGCTGATGCATGACTTCGTACTGTACTTAAACATGATGAACAATGTTTTAATAAACGAAGACATAAATCAGCACAATGTTCTGTATCTTCTTCAAAAAGTAATTCAGGAAACTATATTATAACAAATAAAAACAAAAAAAACAATAATAATAATAATATTTCATTTTATGTTTTTTTTTTTTTTCTAATATAAAAATCAATTGACTTACTTTATAAACTATTGCACGTTGATGTGAAAATAAATTTTGTAATGTCCATGTACTTTGATTAAGTGCAAATGCATGTAAAAGTATTTTAAGTAGACCAGGTAAAAGAATTTGATGACAATCTGTTGTTTGAACAACCTATTTTAGAAATTTCTTTTTTTTTTCTTTTTCTTATATTAATCAAAATACAATAATAAACGAACTTGTATTATTGTTTCGATTGTATCTAAAACAATCATTGTACATTCTGATGCAAGTATACTTTCAAGATGAGCATCAATTGTTATTTCTTCTTCACTTCTACAATAAGAACAAAAAAAGAGATCGTTAAATTTACAATATATATATGTGAATTAATCGAATAGCCAACTTTTCTTATCAGTTGTTATACAAGTTATTCTTGGAGTATGCTTAAAAAAATGATGCATATCTGAAGATCAATAGAAGTAAGGGATATGTCGCTTTTAGAAATTAAAAGATAAGATTTCAGGACTTAATGTATTTAAAAGAAAAATAACTCTTGTATTCAATTATTGGAAAAATATTGATAATTATATAGAATGTACAGAAAGTCTTTAGTTAAAGAAATTTTCATCTAATTGGTTGACATTTATATCACTGATAGACTATCTTCATAGGTAATATTGACATAAGAAGTATTGAGAAAACTTGTTTTGTAGCATTACAATTGATTTCAACAAAGAACTATAACCTTTCACGGGTTATGAAAAAAACATTATAGTTATTTCCTAGACAAGAAAATCTTGATTAGTTTTTCTACACTAGTGTCGTTTAATCTAAAATCTATACAGGAAATAGATATCTTCTTATTCTTTTCTACATGAAAAATTTCAACAATAAATAGAATAAATTTATTGTGACAAGTGCTATTGTGTTTTTCTAATCATAACCCATGAATGATTATAGTTCTTTGCTGAAATCAGTTGTAATGTTTCCCCTCAGTCAGTATGAACTATGAATATATTCTATCAGTGGTAAAAATATCAGTCGATTACATCAAAATATTACTAAGATATTTAAATTTTTCTTTGACTAAGAATTTTCTCGATATCCTATGTACTATTTCAATGGAAATTGAATAGATCATAACGATAATTTACTGTCAACACGATTCAAATGTTCTGCTATTGAAACAAGAAAATTTGGTTAAATGAACATAATATCTTGACAAAAAGTTTTCTCTACTATAAAAATAAAGAAAGAACTGAATTTTTCCTTTTTTCAACTGATACATTCGACAAAAGCGAAATAGAAATTAACTTACTTAACCCACAGGAATACTCATATAAAAATAAAAACTAATCTTGCTCAATCATCAATATGTAGAAGCTGTTTTCGTTACTCTCTTATCAGTAAATAAATCAAAAAAAACCGTATACAAAAGAATATGCTCTTATTTCTACAAGAAAAACATTTCTTTATTCAAATATCCAGATGAAAAACTTTTTTTCTACAACCAATAATTTTCTTCAAAACACATTGGTATAAACAAATAGACTTTGTACTTCTGAGCATGCACATCTAAATTCAATTGAAACAAAGATCATAAATCATTAATTACAGCTGTTATCAAGATATCAATCTTAACAACGCATATATCTTTCAATGACTGATATCAACATTAGAAAGGCTTATCTTAGATTTCTACTCGATAGTCAAAGTTGACTTTTATTCTCGACTAATAAATATATTATCGTAGATCAATAATTTCATCGCTTGGATTCCATGAATTTTCAACAGAATTTCGCCGGAAAGATGTCTTGTTCTATCGGAAAAATTCTAGAAACTTAGAAAGGAAAATTTGATGATAGAATTTTTCATATTCCGATTGTAACTGGATAGAGACGCTAATGGATTCATACTTTCAAGTTCTCATAGAATTTTATAGAGTTTTGTGAGTCATCGTTCGATCTGAGATATTGTAATTAACACAAGTTATATTCATAGAATTAATTCTTTTCTAAAGACCTTCAAGTTAATCAACTATGATGCTCAGACATTTTTATATACTAAATGAAGATATTGGCTTTCAATTGTTTGTATAACGAGGGATTTTGTTTAGTCTGTACATATAAAAATAATAACATATATATATATATCCGACCTTTCTATATTAGCTTGTCGCCAATGTGTTTGATCTTTACGCCAACGAAGATTACTAGTGCTTTTACTTGATTCTACAAAATAAAAATAATTTTTTGATTATAAATGAATTCATAATTTTTATTTATTTACCATGAACTGATGGATTAGGATTTTTTTGTTTTGTTCTATTTAACATATCTGTTCTTGCATTA